GGCAAACCTAGACAGCATCTTAAAAAGCAGAGACATCACCTTGCCAACAATGGTCCGTATAGTAAAAGCTACGGTTTTCCCAGTAATGATGTATGGAAGTGAGAGCTGGACCATAAAGAAGGCTGATCGCCGAAGAATTGATGCTTTTGAATTATGGTCCTGGAGGAGACTCTTGAGAGTCCCATGGGCTGCAAGAAGATCAAACGTATCCATTCTGAAGGAAATGAGCCCTGAGTGCTCACTGGAAGGACAGATCGTGAAGCTGAGGCTCCAATACTTTGGCTACCTCATGAGAAGAGAAGACTCCCTGGAAAAGACCCAGCACAAGGAGAAGGGGACAACAGAGGACGAGATGGTTGGACAGTGTTCTCGAAGCTACAAACATGAGTTTGACCAAACTGCGGGAGGCAGTGGAAGACAGGAGTGCCTGGCGTGCTCTGGTCCATGAGGTCACGAAGAGTCAGACACGACTAAACAACTAAACAACAACAAGTTTGAAAAATTCAGTTTTAAATGTAAACTGAATCAAATTTCTCCCCTATCCCTGCAAGCAGCCAATGTGCCAACTCAAATGTGCTGTCTTCTCATGCAAGTGTGATATCTCAAAATTTGCAGCGGGGTCTATTCATAAATCCCATCTCTCCATTAGGATTATATAATAGAGAAGGATGGCACAGGGCAGTGCCCACCCACCAGATCCCCCTCAGCCTCCCTCCAGCTGGAGGGAACCCAAGGTCACAGTTGCTCCGGCGTTGTTTCCTGCCCCCACGGTGCAGCACGCCCCCACCTGTCCCAGGCGCCCACGGGGCACACTCTACCACTGTACAGAGGTAGCTGAGCTGCACCCAGAACAGATTACTACTATGTGTTATACATGAAGCTGCCCTTGAAGACTTTCTGGAAATTTCACTTAGTTCAGAATGCTGCTGCTAGACTACTAACCAGGGACAACTTTGAAACCCATTCAGTCAGGTTTGAAAAATCTTCACTGGCTACCCGTCTGTTCCTGAGCACAATTCTACATAAGAATTTGAGTACCTTCAGAACCAGCTCCTTCTGTATGTGCCTGCCTGATCAGTGACATCTTTGTCCAAAGCCTTTCCTAGTTGCCACCTATTTAATATCTGATAGCAGGGGCACCAAGAAAAAAGGCCCTTTGGTTATGGAGTTCACCCAGAAGGTTCATTGATGCCAACTTTGGTATCTGTTTGGTGTTAGGCAAAAACCTTTTTTTTTTTTTTTGCTCCATTTTTAAAGCTGAAATTAACTGAGATTGATTTTAACTGACATTCTAAGTCTATATCTACTGTATTTAAAAATCACTATTTTCTTATTAACAAACCCTGATAGTAGTCATACTTAAGGTTGGGGGTATAAATCTTACCATACATAAATAACTAAAAAATTGAAGTTCTCAATCCAGTGTTGTGAAAATTGTGTATCCCATGCTAGGGATCATTCAGGAAGGAATTGAAATACAAATCTGTGTTCAGTTCTGGTCACCTCCCTTTAAAAAGGATATTGTAGAGCTGGAAAAGCACAACAAAAATGTTCATGGGACTGAAGCAACTCCCTTTTGAGATAAGGTTGCAACATTTGGGTCTTTTTAGCTTAGAGAAGAGGCAAGTAAGAGGAAGCATGGGGGACTTTCTGGAGCTGAATTGGGGAAGGAAGAGGGGCTGCAAGGAATGAAGAGGGACGAGAAGGACCGTTGTGTGATGTTTGAAGGCACCCATAACTTTTTAAGACAGCCTGAACTAAATTCCATCCATGAAGTTATGACATCCCACTGGCAGTTTAGTCTTCAGAGTATTCATCTCTGTGCTATTAGACACATTATGTCTGTACAAGCATTGCAACTTGCCAGATGGAACCACCCCTCTCCTCCCCAACACTTCTTCTGAACCCCCCCCCCCACCTGAGATGATTTCAGGAGGTGTGAGAGAAGGAGAGGGGAGTAAGCTTCATTGTGCAAGTGCGGTTCATTAGGGGAATCCACCCCATGTTCTTATTCTATGTATCAGGGTGGGGAGAATTTTTTTTTTATTAAAGTAAGAAAGGGGTAGAAATCTGCTCTATTAACTATCCTGCCATAAATCTTTGCTTTGACTACCAATCCAAGCCAATATTTTGTTGCAACTGCTTGATACTTCCAGGGTCATGTTTTCCGCCATGTAACAAAGCCAGAGTATTATGGATAGCCTATCAAAAGTAACCACAACCAAATTATTTAGCTGCAGATGTAATATATTGGTTGCATCTTTTGAAAAAGCTACACAAATACACAATAGAATCTTTGCCTATTGTATACGTAGGAGCAAATTCAGTGGTTCAGTGGAGAAAATATATTTACTTAACCAGATAAAAGGCAAAGTTGTTTTTCTCCAGTTCAATTGATTCTGTTCAATCAGATACTATCACCTCCCCATGGTAATTCTTATCCATCTTCTAGGTCCATAAAGCTGGATGTATGTTATCACATTCATTTCTATGGCAACAGACTGATTACAAACAGAATTATGACTTCTAAAGGACCAAGAAGCAGCTGCTCAAAGAGGAAAAAATGTATTTGGGTCTTTCCCAGCATTAAAAACCCTGCAGTTTTCTTAGTGCTTTATTCATTCTAGTACCATGATTCCATAGCATGATCTATGTCCCTGTGCCATGGAATGAAGGGGTGTTTATTATTTTGTTTATTTATTCCATTTGTATACCATCCAAGGGGTGTATGGAGTGTTAGGGGAGGGGTAGTTCCTCTGGTGGAGAATACTTAATGCTCCTTCTGGAGTAGTTTATCCACCTTTAGTCCCCACCCTGTGCTCCATTCTCATCTGTGGTTCCTAGAAGCTGTCAGCATGTGACAGCAGCCACACCCTGGGAAACAGCTTTGGCTGGCTGGCTAAACCAAGTGAGGGTAGCTGATGGGTCTCAAACCCTCCATGAGTTAGGGATTTACCCTGCATGTGAAGACAGGCTCCAATAGATTCAGGGGAGAAGGCCAATAGTGGGTCCAATGTTCAAGAAGGTGGCTTCTGCACATGCTGTAGAGAGAAGTGAGGGGCAGATGGGGCTCATCAAAGTGGGAAGGGAGCCAAATTTGGGAGAAAGAAAACTCTGATCCTAAACCTCTGCTGCCTTGTGGGATATCTTTGGGAGAAGAAAAGGCTAAGGAGTAAACCCTACATAAATTGGGAGTAGAGTCCCTAAGATGTTTGGGTGGTGCCTTGTATTCCTCCTTCTGGCAATTTCAGCAGCCAAGCTGGTGCCAAACATATTGCTCTGCTTTCCTGGGCAGCCCAGGACCTCCATACACACTGCCCAGGCTTGCGCCCCAGGGAGGTCACTTTGACTTCACCCCCAGAGGCACACTCCATTGTTTCTTGAGACAAATGGATACCAACAATACCACCCATAAGTTCTTTGGACAGTTTATAGAAACATTAAAAATATGGGTTGTGTTTCACCTAACCAGTCCTGTCAGCAATGGTGTTTCCCCCTCCTTATCCTCCCCACATGCACCTCCTGCCCTCAGAAAATCCACCAAAACATAGTGGAGGGGGCGAGTGTAAACTGTTTAATTATTATTTGGTGATGCTTAATTTTACTGTTTACTATTAGATTCTTATGGATTGTTGAATGTTGCATTGTTTAATATGCTGTTTATTTTAAAGTTGTGACTTTTTATATTAGATCAGATTGTTACTATTAATGTTTGATGTTTTATTATGTTTTTATATGTGTTGGAAAGCCACCCAGAGTAGCTGGGGATGCCCAGCCAGTTGGGCGGAGTATTAAAAAAGCAAACTAGTTTGGTTTTTTTAATTCCTCAAAGTGCTTCCAGCAGGTAGAGTGTAGAAAGTTGTCAGTGTCTTAGTTTTTCAATACAGAGCTCCTTTTTATAGAGAGTTAAGTGCAATTACAGGTGGCAGCTGCCCAATCAGTTTATATATAGTGGAAGAGGTTATGCTACTTTTTGTGTTGTTATTATTGCCTACTTTTCTATTTCCTTTTTTACCCCCTCCCCCTGCTTTATGCCCCAACTTGTGGCTCCAACAGAAGATATACTTGGTGCATCTTACAATCATGTATTCTAAAACAAATTAAAATCAAGATTAGGAAACAGCAGTTATGAACTGACCCATGGGCTTATTCATCTTTACATACTGGTTTGTGTTGAGAGCAAAAATCCCATCACAAATCTCTAGAGGCAAGTATTTGGGTTAAACAAAAGCTTTGTGGATGAAATATATGACTTTTTTGAATGCTGTTTCTCCCTAGTTGCCAAATTTAACTGGTTGGTCTGTGGCCCAATAAGATGAGGATCTGGATATAATGAAATCAAACAGAATTTGTCATTGCCTAGTCAGCATCTCACCAATCAAACACATCCTTAACCCTTGAAAGCACAAAATTAGGAAATTGCTACAATTTGGCACATAAATGAGGCTGTGTATGCTGGTACATAAATTACTTTTTACTCTGTTTTTGGAATTGTATGAAAATGGAAAGCTAATGATTCTATGTATAGTTTTTCCTTGAAATGTAAGTCTGTGTTTGATAACTAGACTATTTAGCATGAAGTTCCTTATAGCTGCCTGGCAAAGACTCAAGCTGATAGAGGATGTACAATTGATTAGTGTCAAATGATGGAAGATTTTTGTAATATAATTTATATGGTATAGTAATATGCAAATAATATATACATTGTGAAGGAAGGGAATGGCTTTTTTAATTTCTCCTATCATAATTTTCTGTCTCATTGTTTTTCAACCAGCAGTGGTGGGATCTGTCTGTGGAAGTAATTTACCACCTACCTCTCACTCAGTAATAGTGCTAATGTTCATTAGTTCCATTTCCAAATGATAGGCGCTAAAAGTATAGTTCACACAACTTGTGTTTTTTCCCATTAATAACTGTGTAAGTAATGTGTACAAGGCTGTCATTAGAGCAGCAGGTGCTCTATTCCCATATTTACATGATTTTGTGTTCTTTCCCTTTAGATTAAAATATGTAAAGATCTCATTACAGTAATTGAGAAAGGTAAGAGGTTGCTCACATGGCGTCATGCTCAATTTACTAACCAGATTCTTTCTGTTGCTTGTATAAAACTGAAACATCTCTCATTTATCTGGGTTGGTCTCTTCCTTTTTCACTGGGTGCTGCGCTAGCAATAAGGGACCCTTCGTATCCCCCCACCCCAAGCAGCAATACGAAGAATCCCATATCCAGCTCTCTTTGCCCCTGCATGTCTAAAGCTTCACTGGAAACCCCCCCCCCCTTCTGCTCCTGCTTGCTTCAGGCGGAATCTGACACCAACACCTGCCATGGTGGAAAATGTCTTTGTTGCTTTGCACTTCTGTTTGAATTGCTGCAGGGGAGCCAATGGGAGTTAGGTCCATTTACTTTTTTTGTTGCCTAAGCACCATGGAATAGGATCTTGAGATGGTGCAGATAAGGAGCGGCACGTGCTGTGCTGGCCCTTTGAGTTAGCTCAGCTTAATAAGGGGCTCTTTTTCTGGGAAGGGCAGATTGCTGAGCTTGGGCCTATGAATGGAACAGCTGGGGGAGGAAAAAAGAAACAAAGGAAGGAAAACACAGGCTGCCCTGAACCTGGCAATTGGGGGTGCGGTTTCGGAGCTGGCCACACGCCAGGTGTGACCTTTGCAGTCTGCTTGGTTCTGCTTGTTTGGGTAATTTCCAGTGCAGGGCTGAAAAGGAAGGAAGCTGCCCAGCAGCAGAGCATTGCTGGCTGGATAGGCTCAGTGGCTGGCTGGGTTGCTGAGGCGCTGAATTAACTCTTACAAAGCTAGCTCACAAATAAATGAGGAGGCTTACAGAATAACCTGTCAAACAGCCAGCTCATCAGGTTAATGGATGATTCCTCATTGCAATCATACATCAGCTGAAACACTTTTCAGGGTTAGATTATCTTTTTGTAAGCTCTGGCGCTTAACTGATATCCCTAAGGGAAGCAAAGCATTTGTGTATCAGAGGGGAATATGTGTTCATTAGTATTACAAATTTAACTCATTTATTCTTTGATCTTAAACACATTATTTAGAAGTCGTTCCAGTGAAATCAGCAGCTATTGCTTCCTAGGACTATGTTTTTGAGTCCGGTTGTGCATTTTATTATTCTCAGAGGGTGACCTGTGTTGTAAAACACCTTCTTGCCAATGTGTTCTTTTTAGAGCATAGAATTGTAGAGATGCTTTCTGCTGATTGAGATGAAGGCATAAATGGGCTTTGTACTGAGCACTTTCTCACTGTAACTTTTATGTTAATACGCTGTTTATTTTGCTGAGGCTGAGGGGCTGCTCTGTTTCTTTCTCTAAAGTGAACTGGAATATGAAGTTCCGTACTTCTGGGGAGAAGCAGGCTCAAGTCAAATTTGTGCCAGGTGGAATTGCAGGCTTGCAGGTGGAATAATTATAATATTTTTATAAAAGACTTTATCTTTTGCAGTTATTTGCTCATTGTGCAGCTGTTTTCTCCCCATCAATCAAGACCTGTTTAAGGGGAGCAATGAGACTGGTTGCATAGTTAAGCACTTGGCAGAAGAAAGGTTTGACTGAAGGAATGTGCAACTTTGAAAGGCTGATGGAATGTTGTGCAAGTGATTGCCAGTTGCGGCTGCCCTTTCCTGCACATGCTTGCCTGTTTGCACTGTACAGCTTTTCATATGCACAGGAGTGCTCTTGTTGTATGATTGCATGACTGTTACTTGAACTTACTCATCTGAGAGAAATTGTGCTATTTTGACCATCTGTCACTCTGCTTGGCTTCAGGAATGTAAAACACTGCACCCTCACTTTTTTTCTCCCCAAGGAAAAACCAAAGCACCTTCCCAGTTCTACAAATATCTACATATTTTGCACAAAACTATTTGCATATCCAACCTATGTTTTGCTTGCTTTAAACTTTTTCACTTTCATTATTTAAGTACAATGTATGAGTATATAAATGTTTAAAAGGTTTGAAACAAACTCCTAGGTGAAAATTTAGCTGAACCATGTTATAAGATATTAAAATTGCCTAAGCTACTTGAATTTATTTTCCTTTAATGACTTGCTCCAAACATGAGCTGCTCCTGGGGCAAAACTATGTTCCAAACCTGACTTCTGTGAAGTGGGCTTCATAAAAGCTGCAGAAAAACTACAGAACTGCTGATATATTTTCCTCCAAACAGCCAACAGCTCTTCTTGGCTTACTAGTAGACTTGTGTCAGTTTCTCCCACGAGATATTACAAAATGTGATGAATAAAAGTAAGTACAGTAATATATAAATCTTATGAAATAAACTTTCCCGTTTTGGGGGTGCAGAGTCCCCTACCCCATTTGGCTCCCAATTTGTCCCATTTTCGAAGATATAAAAATTGGTGTTTGTGTGCTCACCCAAACCTGCTTGCCTTGTTCGCAACTTAACTTGCTAGCTGCTTAGGAAGTTGAGCCCGCCCTACCCTCCCAAGCTGGCTGATTGATGCTCCAGGCTAGCCAATAGTGGAGCAGCAGCCTTGAGAAACAGCTTGTTTGGCAGAGCAGAGGCAGGGAGCTCAGTAAGGAGTCCTACCAACTAATTGTTTTTGAAATATACTTTCTCCCCCTTCCCATACACAGAACTAAATGCATATTTTATGATGGCATATGTCACCTGCAATTGTTAGAATTGGCTGTGGGGGTTTTCAAAAATCAGCCTTTTTCCAGCACTTCTTACACCCCTGTATTGCAGACCAGCCTGGTTAGCCCTTCTGTCACAAATGCAGAGGGAGGGAGCAGAGACAAGTAGAATTGCTAGAACTTAGTGACTTCAGGCAAATGCTGAAACTTCAAATGGTGACCTGCTCAGGGAAACCCTTCCTGACTGTTAGGGTTGGGTTAGCCCAAGACTGCAAGGAATCATAAAACCCACTGACAAATACCCCTTCCTCTTGGTTCATGTGGGAACCAATGACACTGCAAGCAATAGCCTCCAGAAGATCAAAAGAGACTACAAGGCTCTGGGCAGGAAATTGAAACAATTAAATGCACAAATTGTGATCTCATCTGTCCTCCCAGTTGAACGACGTGGCCCAGGGAGAGAGGGGAAAATAGTGGAAGTGAACAGCTGGCTTTGCAAATGGTGTAAACAGGAACGGTTTGGATTCTTAGATCACGGACTGCAGTTTCTTGAAGATGGACTTCTGGCAAGCGATGGGCTGCACCTCACAACGGTTGGGAGGAATGTTTTTGTCAAAAATCTCAGAAACCTCATCAGGAGGGCTTTAAACTGACTAATGTGGGGGAGGGAGACAGTGCTCCTGAAGGTAGGAGTCTATCAATTGATGAAGATGATCATCCAAATGTCATAGACCGAATGGAGCAAACAGCACACAGACCTAGTGGTGGGAGGAAAAAATCCTTAAATAAGAGACACAGGGGAATGATTAATGGACTTCAATGTCTGTACACTAATGCGCAAAGCATGGGAAATAAACAAGATGAGCTTGAGCTCTTGGTACAGCAAACTAAATATGACATAATAGGCATCACTGAAACCTGGTGGGATAAGTCCCACGATTGGAATGTAATAATGGGGGGATACAATCTATTTCAGAGAAACAGACCAGACAAGAAAGGAGGAGGAGTGGCGTTATATGTCAGGGATGTGTATACCTGTGAAGAGATCCAAGATTTAGAACCTCAAAGCCAAAGTGAGAGCATTTGGGTCAAAATTAAGGGAGAGAAGAATAACAGAGACCTCATTGTGGGAGTTTACTATAGATCCCCAAGCCAAACGGAGGACATAGATGGTGCCTTCCTGGAACAGATGGCCAAGCATGCAAAAGGAAGGGAGATAGTAGTAATGGGGGACTTCAATTACCCGGATATTTGTTGGATGTCAAACTCAGCCAAGAGCATAAGGTCAAACAGATTCCTCACTGGCCTTGCAGACAACTTCATTGTCCAGAAAGTGGGAGAAGCAACAAGAGGAACAGCCATTTTAGATCTGGTCCTAACCAATGTTGAGGACCTGGTTAGTGGGGTAGAAGTGGAAGGATCATTAGGCGCGAGTGATCATGCTCTTCTGAAGTTTACTATACAGCGGAAAGGAGTAAGCCAAGCATACTAGGACTCAATTTCTTGATTTTAAGAAAGCCGACTTCATAAAACTTAGGGAAGTGCTGGGTGAGATCCCATGGACAGTAATACTAAAAGGAAAGGGAGTTCATGATGGCTGGGAGTTTGTTAAGAGGGAGATAGTAAAAGCACAACTTCAGGCAATACCAATGAGACGGAAACATGGAAGGTGCCTAAAGAAGCCAGGGTGGCTATCTAAATAACTTTTAACTGAGTTAAGATTTTAAAAGGATGTGTACAAAAATGGAAAAGGAGGGAAACCACCAAAGAGGAATTCAAACAAATAGCCAGCACATGTAGACACAAAGTCAGAAAAGCTAAAGCACAGAATGAATTCAGGCTTGCTAGAGAGGTTAAAAGCAACAAAAAAGGCTTTTATGGGTATGTCCGTAGCAAAAGGAAGAACAAAGAAACAGTGGGGTCACTCAGAGGAGAAGATGGTGAAATGCAAACAGGGGACACAGAAAGGGCTGAACTCCTCAATGCCTTCTTTGCCTCAGTCTTCTCCGATAAAGAAAACAATGCCTGACCTGAAGAATTTGGAGCAAATGATTCAGCAGAGGAAACACAGCCAGAATAACTAAGGAGATAGTACAAGAATACTTGGCTAGTTTAGATGTATTCAAGTCTCCAGGGCCAGGTGAACTGCATCCAAGAGTATTAAAAGAACTGGCAGATGTGATCTCAGAACCACTGGCAGTCATCTTTGAGAATTCCTGGAGAACAGGCGAAGTCCCGGCAGACTGGAGGAGGGCAAATGTTGTCCCTATTTTCAAAAAGGGGGAAAGAGAGGACCCAAATAATTATCGCCCAGTCAGTCTGACATCAATACCAGGGAAGATTCTGGAGCAGATCATTAAGCAAACAGTCTGCGAGCACCTAGAAAGGAATGCTGTGATCACCAATAGTCAGCATGGATTTCTG